TTTGGACAAGGTTTACAAGTGTTTCTTATGTGGGTATGCTTCTGCCTCCATCCAGGTAGCCTATGGAAATGTGGTGTGTTTGGGAGCTACATGTATGCCTGGAGAGTGTTGTGGCAATTACTAGGGGTTGAGGCTGAGAGAGAATGAACCTGATGCCAAGCTCAGGACAGTTGCATGTTAATAGGGAATTTCCTACTCAAAATGTCACCAGCACCCTTGTGGACACACTAAGATCTGAAACCCTTTCTAGGGCAGCCCGGGTGGCCGAGTGGTTTAGCGCCGCCTTCAGCCTGGTGTGTGATCCTGGAGACCCAGGATTGAGTCCCACCTCGGGCTCCCTGCATGGAACCTGCTTCTCCCTCTCCCTCTGCCCGTGTCTCTGTCTCTTTCTCTCTCTCTCTCTCTCTCTCTCTCTCTCTCGTCATGAATAAATAAATAAAGTCTTTTCTAAAAAATGAAACCCTTTCTAGCAACTCGTGGAACGTGAAATGCCTTGACTCAAGTCTGGCAAATGGCAGGGAGTAAACTTCAGGACACAACCTTGATTTTTAGAGGACATTTTGTATCTAACAGTAGCTGTCAACATTGAAAATGTTGAGCTTAGTGTTTTCGGCAACAATCTGAATCTCCTAGAAATCTTTGTATCTAGGTAGATAAAATATTTTCAATCTCTTTGCGGAGGTTCTACATGAAAGCAGGAGTTGCCACCAATGGAAACCCTGAGGAACAGAGTTGAACTGGTAGTAAAGGATGGCATAGTTCCAAGGTGATGGGGACACAGGAAAGTACTTGGGGCACAGTGGTGTTGGTGGAATTGTATGTGTCCCTCCTCCCCCTCCCTTATTTTTCTTTATTTTATTTTTTATTTTTTTATTATTATTTATTTTTGATAGAGAGAGAGAGAGAGAGAGAGAGAGAGAGAGAGAGAGAGAGAGAGAGGCAGAGACACAGGCAGAGGGAGAAGCAGGCTCCATGCACCGGGACCGGGAGCCCGACGTGGGATTCGATCCCGGGTCTCCAGGATGGCGCCCTGGGCCAGAGGCAGGCGCTAAACCGCTGCGCCACCCAGGGATCCCCCTTATTTTTCTTTATACCTCTTTATACTTCTTTGCACCTGCTAGTGTGTCCATTTATTTACTCGTTTATCTTGTGTCTCCACCTCCTTTAGAAAGCAAGCTCCATGGGAGAAGGGACTTTGCTTTGTTTACAGCATATCCTCTGACTCTCTGAAGGGGAATGCCGTGAAATCTGTGTTTGAACAGTAGTTAAAGAGGCTTTAGGTGGAAAGAACAATGCAGGCAGAGTGTCCAGATGACCTCTTACCCGGTTCCTAGCCTCCCCTATTATTCCAGCAATATTACTCGGCACTTGTTTAAATTACATAAAGGGCATATGCTGCACGTAATGTACTAAGCCCCGTCTTTTCATTCACCATGTATTTCTGAGATGTAACCTGTCATTAAAAAGTACATAGGTCTCTCTACTTCAGCGATTTCCAAGTGGGGGGTGGTGTTTGTCCCTCCGGGGATATATGGCAATGCCTGGAGGTGCATTTGACTGTCACCACTGGAGGGGTGGTCCTATCAGTATCTGGGCGATGGAGGCCAGGTGTGCGGCTTCACATCCTGCAATGCTCAGAATTATCTGGCCCAGGAGCCCAAGAGTGGAGAATCCTTGGGCTATTTCTTTCCTTCAGTTTGTGGAAGAGTGCCCCCTCGATAGCACGTAGCATATTTACTTTATCCATTCGCCTACTGGTGGGCATTTAGACTGTCCCAGTTGTCTGACCTGACAGAGTGCTGGGAAGAACACCCTCACCAGTCTTTGCGTGCGCACGCGTGCTTGTGTGTGTGTGTGTGTGTGTGTGTGTGTGTGTGTGTGTTGTGCGCGCGCTCATGTGTAAGAGTTTCTGGTAGCCACACTCTGCTCTAGGAGACCCTTGCAAGTGCTCCTGTAGATTGGCCGGACCCATTCACAGCTGCAGCACTGCCTGGGGTTCCAAGTCTCTGCATTTCACGTGATTGGCATTTTCATTTTTGCCAGCCTGAGGAGCTTAAATGAGTAGTTTATTGGTTTTAAATTTGCATTTTCTGATGAATAATAGGGCCAAGCTATTTGAATCCATCACACTGCACCGCATTCTCCAAAGCTGGGGGAAATGTTTTTTGCTAAGCATAGACCACTTCAGTCTGTTCATGTCTATCTGTGCCGGGTTTTAAAACAGCGCATTTTGCCGAGACCCAGCTTGACCGTTTCTGCCAGTAGAGGTCAGCGTCCCTCGGAGTTTGTCCACCAGTGTGCCTCCCCACCCCCCAACCCCAGCCCCACCCCGCCCCCTTCCTCCACCCCCCCACCATCCAGCCCACCTCCCACCTCGCCCTGGCATATTTGGCAATGATTGGAGACGCGTTTGTATTTTCACCACCTGAGTATGCTGGCTGGCCCCTGGGGGCTGGAGGCCAGGGATTCTGCTTAAAGCCTGCGAAGCAGGGGACAGCACCCAACAAACAACAGTTATCTGGCCCCAGATGTTGAGAGTGCCAGGGTAGAGAATTCCTGGTGCAGACGAAATCGCACTCCACGTACCTTTGAAGGAAAGACAATGACACTGTGTGATACTCAAGTTGCTTATTCTTCTTATTTATTAAAATAGAACACGCACGCTGCTTTCACTATAGAAACTGGGAAAACAGGGGAGAAGCAGGCCTTCCCGGTAGGTAGGTGGGGTTGCAGGGCAGGGCAGGAGGAAGGCAGAGGTTCTGACAGCAACGGTGTTGTTTCTTCTTCGGTGTGGGCCCTGCAGGATCAGCAGAGGCGGGTCTGGGGGCCTTGGCAGAGGTGCAGGCTGGGGTGGTGAGGGCTGGCTGGTGGTGTCAGTGCCTCACGTAGGGGGCGGGGGCCAGCAGGGTAAACGGACGGCCGGCGGCCGGCGGGTTGGAGTCTCAGGACGTGGAGGTGGTGGTGGCGGGACTGTGGCTCAGGATACAGGGAGGGCCCCGGGCTGCTGGTGTCGCGGCAGCAGGTCGGGCCCCAGGTGGGTGTTGGGTTAGACAGGCGGAGGCCAGGAGCAGAAGCCTCTTCTCAGAGGCCCAGGCCTGGGCACAAAGATCGGGACCACTCCGTCTCTCCATACGGGCCTGAAGGCAGATGCCCTGGCCTCTGCGTTCAGCTTCCGTCTCTTGCCGTGGGGGGCTTCAAACCAGAGCGGTCTGTGGGTCCTCTTCTTTCCTCTCCTGCGTCGGCTGGGAGCCCGCAGCGGGCTCTCCTCGGCACCGGGGTCCGGGTGCTCCTGGTCGCCTGGAGCCCTGGAGACGCTGCCTCGGCTCTCAGGAGAAGGGACGTTGACGGTCACCATGTTCCAGACGCTCAGGAGGCTCTGGGCTTTCCAAAGCCAGGGCCTGGTCCACGTCTTGCGAGGCGAGTCCCAGTCGGTGAGGATCTCGAGGGGCGACTTGCTGTGGAAGCGTCTCCAGGGCTTGGGGACCACGACCCCCTGGCCCCCGGTGTGGCCCCAGCGGGGCGGCAGGGTGGGCAGCGGCCTGCGGCGGCCCCACAGCTCGCGGTAGAAGGAGAGCACTTGGCCCTGACCCAGGCCCAGCGGGCGCGGCGCGGGCCCGGGCTGCGGGGCGGGGCGCGTCCAGGCGGGGCGCGGCCGCGCGTCCTTCGTGTCCTTCGTGTCCTTCGTGGTGCCCAGGTACGAGCTCAGGTAGCTGCCCATGACCGCGGGGCGGCGCGCTCCGGCCTCCGCCTCTGCCGCGGCAAGTCGCTCCCGCAGGCGCCCCCCCCCCCCCCCCCGGCCCCCAGCCGTGTCCGCAGCCGCGAGGCGCGCAGGGCCAGGGCGACCGTTGGCAGACGCCCCTCGTGGGAACCCTGCGTCACGGGTCACGTCACGGGTCACGGGTCACGGGTCACGGGTCCTGCGCGAGCTGGGCCAGCGCCTGGCGGGCGCGGCAACTGCCGGGGGCGCCCCCCAGCTCCCCACGCAGGCCCGCGGCGCCTGGCCTGGGCAGCGCGGCCAGGAGGCCTTGGCGTCCGGCCCCGACGTTTGGACGGACGAGATGCGCCCATCTCCGTCAGCTCCTCACAAGTACAGAACGTGCGCACAATGGCCCTCTGTTGCGTTACCGCGAAAATGAACGTAGAGCACTTGAACGCCCTTTTAACGAAAGACGAGCTTGTGTGCACTCGTAAAGGGCACGTGCGTTTCCATCTGCCAGGCTGCTTGCTGAGCCCCCCCCCCCCCCCCCGTTTTGCGATTTTGCTCTCAAGGAAATGGTGACAGCCGTTCAGGGTTTATCTTTTAGCCCCAACAACGTTGATTTTTGTGGACTTCCCTATAATTTTTCAAGCTTTGTATCTTTCCTACATTCATATATAATTGTCTCCAATATGAACACTAAGGTCATTTCTCTGCTGTCATCTCTAGTGCTAATATATGTATATAGAGTAGTGTGGTACATCCCTTTTTTACAGTTGTGAAGTAGATAACTGTAGAAATAGTGTTTAAAGGCTGCTGGTAAATTGATGATAACACTTCAGCCTGGAGGTCTCTTACTGTGCCAGCTCCAGTATTGGAGTGGAAGATGGATGGTAGTGTGGCCAACACAGTCAGCAAGTACTGGACCAAAGGTGGGCAACTGATTTGTCTGGATCTGAGATGTGCAAGGCTGAATGAGACTAAAAAGAGCTTGATGAGGACAAACCAAAAGCTTCTGTGGTTCAGAAAGAGGCCCAGTTTGGGGGAAGCAGGGATGCTGTAAGCACATGATGGAGAATGAAATGCTTTAACACTCTCTACTGTGTCCTTTTTCTTATTTTTTCATTTTGCTGGGTTCCTATTTAACGAATGATCCCTACATATATTATTTTGAAACAAAGGATGGTAGAAATGACTTTATTCATAGCTAAGACACCTTTTAAGATGGTAATCACTCTGGAGTGGATGTTCCAATGGAATTAGTCATTGTTTGCTTTTAATGTATTTTTCCCATCATCTGCAGAATTTCCCACGTCCTACTTTGCAATGTAACCCAGCGGGTGTCATTCTGGTTTGTGGTTACAGATCCTTCAAAAAATCACACCCTTCCTGCTGTTGAGATACAGTCGGCCATAAGGTAATTACCACTAAATATGTCTTCTACTGGTACATCATATTAGCTTGTTGATTAACTTGACTGTTTTCATATATTTTGAAGAATTCTCTCTCTGCCTCACAGTGATTTATTTATTAATATGTCAAAGGTTTACTTTTGTTAGTTTATATTACGGATTGGTTTGGATCAGTGGTTCTCATCCAGGGACACTTTTGCCTCCAAGGAGACATTTGGCAATATCTGGAGACATTTTTCTTGTCACAATTGAGGCAGGGATGGGGATGGGGTATTACTAGCATTGAATAGACAGAAGTTACGGGTGCTGCTAAACATCCTACTATGCACAGGACAGCACCTCAGAACAAAGAATTATTCAACTCCAAATGTCAGTCATGCTGTGGCTGAACCCTAGTTTAAATATTAGCTACGAATATTTAGTGCTGTCTTCTTTTGACAAGAACACCTTGAACGACATTATTGTGTTATGGTTCATCATGTGGATTCTGGAGCCCAAATGCTTAGGTTTTTAATTCTGACTTTACCTCTTGCCAACTGCTTGACTTCAGACAAGTTACTTTCTCTCTTTTTGTTTCCCTCTTATAATCTATAAAATGGGAGTAGTTATTATGGTACCTCTCTCTCAGAGTTGTTGAGAAGGTTAAATGAGTTAATAAATGTAAGGCGTTTTGAAGGACAAGTCATACCTTTGACTTTTTAAAAAAGATTATTTATTTGAAAGCGAGAGAGAGCAGAGTGAGCAAGAGAGAACACAAGTCGTGGGGAGGGATGGGGGGAAAAGCAGCCTTCTCGCCGAGCAGGGGCCCAATCTGAGATTCGATCCCAGTACCCTGGGATCATGACCTAAGCCAAAGGCAGACACTTAACTAAGTCACTCAGGTTCCCCGTACTTTTGATTTTTATTTAAAAACCAATAAAAATATTCTTGTTTCTTGGGTCTCTAAGGACTTAGCTTCTTTAATGTACAGTCTTTGCCTTTTAAAGATACTTTTTCAAAAGCAGGGTAAAAGCATGACTCTCATACAAATTAAAAATAAATGCCACTAAAAATTGTATTATCTTGTTAATTAATGAGGGAACTCAGTAAAATGGTAAAACCAGTTCAAAGAAGACTTCAAGGAACCATGCATCTATAGGAATCAGGGAATGGTGATGTCTATTTACAAAAAGATGCACCATTCTGTCCATCAGGTAGTGATCAATCACATTCCACCAGACACAAATCATTTGATTTTCTATGGACAAGAATCATTTACATCATGTCCATTTTCTACTACTTACAGGTTTGTGAAATAACTCAAAGGCAAATATAAGGTATAACTTTTCCAGAAAGGTGTATTCACCAGGTAGTAATAATTTTACCCATTTCAAATTTTACAGTTTTTCCTAAGAGTTCCTTTCCTCCTCTTCTTGTGATCATAGCAAACTTTCAAAAGTAAACTGTATTCTTGTCTTCAAAGAAGAAGGATGCAATTTGTTTTTACTTCAGTTAATGCACACTTTATATATGTACACTTTCCATCCCTCAAATGATTAATGTTGGGCAAAGGTATATTGGAAGAATGAGTTCAGGAAATAAACTATTTCTGGAAAAAGACAAATGAAAAAAAGTAACTCTCCTCACAAAGCACTTACAGGTTACTGAAATACAAGTTATTCTCTTTACCAAGGAGAAATATCTATTATAAGAACTCATTAGCTCTCTGTAAAATATTAACATTTAAGATAATGGGTATATAATCAAATGCCAAAGGTTTTTGTGTGATCATCTACTTCCCTTGCTGAAGTAAAGGCTTTGAGAATATATACTAGTGGGAAATGATTTCATCTGCTTTAACAAGAAGGTTTGAACTAAATTTTTCCTGTACTTTTGCCACTAAAAAATGTTAAGACACACCACATAGGGAATAAGAATTAGGAACACTGTATTTCACATGAAAAGGAATTTTATTCAAGCCCTCCTCATGATCTGGGAGGGCTACAAGGAAATGAAGGCACTGCAGTTAAAGCAGGCTTCTATTAAGGTGAGAGAGAAGAGTGTTTGGGGTGAAGGTGGAGAGGGTGCAGGTGAATATGTTCGCAACAAAATGTCTCTGTCAAAGGTCCTAGCAGGAGAAGCTACTTAGCAGGTGAGGATGGCCGAGGGAATGAGAACTTATGTCAGGGATAGGTTTCATCAGGACTGTCTGAAAATAGAGGGAACAATACCAAGAAAGAAGGATAGCATGAAAAACAAAGGGATGGTGACTAGAGGGCAGGTAGTAGGAATTTCAAAACTGAAGAATCTGTGGAGTTGGGCAAAATAATGCTAGTTCCACTTAATATTTGCATAACACTTTCTGCTTCATAAAGCATGTTCCTGCACATCTGTGGCATTTAATGTCAACACCAATCACTTTTGAGTAATTGTTATTATCCCTGGTTTATAAACAAGGGAATTGAGACTCAGGGAGACTAATTGATTTGCTGAGGCCACCACGCTAGAAAAATGAAAAGTGAGGATTTGAACCTAGGCATGCTGCCATCACATCCAGTGGTGTTTTTCCTCTCCCCCAGAGTGTCCACACCTATGGGATTACATGAGGGAATGACCCACTAGTTCTCAGATGTCTGTTTTAGCTCTATTGTGAGGGCCTGGCCTTATCAGGCCAATCTTAGCTGGAAGATATCCATGGTGATTGACACCTATTGGGGATTTAAGTGGTGGTTGAAGATTTATTCTGTACTGATCTAGGACTTCTAATCAGCCTGAGAGGCAAAAGAACAGCAAAATGTTCACTAACCAGGTGGATAGAATGAGAATACAGAGCAACTTCTCATATTACTCTGAGTTATACCTTAGTAGTGGGGTGGGGTTCATTATTTTATGGAGAGGTTTGTGTTCCCAGATTATCAATGATAAGTTATGGAAAAAGGAAACATTCCATAGTTTGACAATAGGCAAACTATGGAAAGAGCCCAGATGTCCATCAACAGATGAATGGATAAATAAGATGTGTTGTGATGTGTGAGTGTATGAAAAAATATATATATAATGGAATATTACTTAGCCATCAAAAAGAATGAAATCTTGCCCTATGCAATGATGTAGATGGAATTAGAGGATATAATGATAAAAAATTTCATTGAAATTATACCCTGTTATAGAGTATCTGGCTGGGATTCTTTTTCACATTTGTGAATAATCATGCCTCGACTTAGATTTTTATTTGCTAAAAGAGGTTTTTCCTGATAGCCTGGTGCTGGTCTGCAGAGATTCTCAAGCCATTACTGTCAGGTTCAAGACCTGCACACTACAGGATGTAGTTACCTGCCATATATGGCTATTGAACACTTAAAATGTAGCTAGTCCAAGATTAGATACACCTTAAGTGTAAAGCACACATCAGATTTCAAATATTGAGTACAAAATTAAATGTGGACCAACTCAATATTGATTACAGATTGAAATTATATTTTCCTGGATATACTGGGCAAAGACAATTATTAAAATAGTTTCAGGATGCCTGACTGGCTTGGTCAGTAGACTATGTGATTCTTGATCTCAGGGTCATGAGTTCAAGCCCCATGTTGGGTGTGGAGCCTACTTAAAAAATAATTTCACGTGTTTCTTTTTACTTTTCTTAAAATGTACCTCCTAGAGAATTTGAAGTCACATATGAAGCTAATATTATATATGTATTTCCCATTGCTGCTCTAGAGGTAGATGAAGTCAGCTTGTCTAGTGTGAGTTCAGTAAAGGCCATACAATATCTCTAAGAAATCTCATTTAGTTTGCAAATTCCAGTTAGAAATTCACTAAATTAGTTTCAGTCAAATAAGTCTTGGCTATCAACCCCTCCTTAACTGCTGCCACCACCAAAAATGCAGACTTCCCCCAGGAAGAGTCACTCATTTACCTTGATATTTTTCTGGATTTTTGGACTCCTTAAGCACCAGTTACTTTAGTCATCTGAAACTTGCAGTTTCCTGAACAAATCTACTATACCACGTCTCCATTCCTGTGCTCACTACACACTTTGGTCTAAAGAATACCCAGGTGTCCCTCAAAACACAGCTCAAAAGTGGTGGGCATGCTCAAGCTCTCACTTCCCGCGAGTGCGTGCGCGCTGGACTATAGCTCACGTAGGGTGAGGGGGGGTAGACAGGGATCCTTGTTTCCGTTCGATGTGCGTTGTCGCTATCGAATAGGCCATGTGCACACACACACACAACTATACTCTTTGGTATTGTTCTTGTCACTTTTGGTATAGTACAACCGGGGCCACCACATCACACAAAACATTCCTCCCGCGACTCTCAACTTCGGTCTACACGTTTCTACTACCAGCCGCAAATACTCTCGTATTTAGAGTAGAGGAGAATCGATGAGAGAACATCACAATTACTAATTAGAAGAAGAATGCGTCAGAATGGAGAGGTATTGCTGTGAAACTAGATTGAAAGAACACACACACACACAACACACACAGGAGAAGAAGGGGTAGTAAAGCGAGGGATAACTTTATAGAAGGGAGAGGGCAGGGAAGTTTTGGGGGGGGAAGGATGTGTTAGGATGAAATTGGGGTTTGTAGTTTTTTTTTGATTTGGATCTCTATCTCTAGTCTATCTAAGAGATCTCTATTAGTGATGGGGTGAGGGGGAGGGGAGGGGGATGTATATCATATATAGAAATAGAGGTATTGGGTGGGTGAGAGAGGAGGAGGGTGTTGGATTGTTGTTTGTGGTTTGTGTTAATGATTTGTATAGTATTGGTGTTTTTTTATTTAAGTTTGAAGATTAGATAAGATTGAATGGAAAAGATGTTGTACAGAAAGAGTAAGTGCTATAGTAGCTTTGATTAGGAGCGTTATTAGTTGATAAATTAATAAAACTGATAAAATAGGGGGGGTATGTGGGTAAGAGGGGAAATGGTGGTGGTTAATAGTGGTGGGGGGGGATTTTGTGGTTTTTAGGTAGGTATTGTTATTTTGTTATTGATTATATTGTTTTATTGAAAAGAGAATGAAAAAATTAAAGTTTAATGTTAGATATAATGTAGATTTTAATTTATAATAATTATTAATATATGTAAAGCCCACCTTAAATAGGGTTGTCATCTTAATCTAGATGCTACCTTTCCGGAAATAAAACATGGTGACCAGAGCTTGATGCTCAGGATTTCTGGTTACTTCTAGGACATTCACAACTATGGAGGGCAGTAGGGGAGCCTTTCTGTAGCATCCAGAACATCCATGAAAAGAGTACCACAGCATGATTGCTCCTGTTAAACTGTCTTGTCAACCTGAGGTCTCTTGCTACAGGGATGCTCTGTTTCTAGAGATAATTATAGTCATGGAGAGATAGGTTTATACCTTCTGTTTCTAATTTTTTTCTCTCTCTCTTGTTTGTTTTTAATTATCATTATATCATAGAATGAATAGGAACCGGATCAACAATGCCTTCTTTTTGAATGACCAGACTCTGGAATTTTTAAAAATTCCTACCACTCTTGCACCACCCACTGATCCATCTGTGCCCATCTGGATTATTATATTCGGTGTGATATTTTGCATCGTCATAGTGGCAGTCGTGTTATTGATTTTATCAGGAATCCGGCAACGTAGAAGGTAAGATACTTAAATAGAGTAATTTACAGAGGATTTTCCTATTTCCTCATGACTTGGAAAAATGTGAGGATGTTCCCAAAGCTGAAGATAACGCCTTAAATTTGAAACTTTGAAAATATTGGTGATTTTCAAAATTATTACTTAGGCTCTTTTAGAGACCTTTTAGAGCACAGTGTCTCTTACTATGACTCCTTCCATTACTATCATTTTCTTTATTCTACACCATATGAATATTTCATATCAAGAATTGATTTTAATATCTGTATCATGCTTTTGTAAGTTGGATATACAAAGCTAAGCAAAGTTTTTGGGTAAGCAGAGTTAATCTTTCATAGTCCTCTACCTCCAAATGATGGCAGTTCCACAGTTCTTTCCATGCACCCCCATCTTGGCTTGCCTTTTCTTGGCCCAGTGCCCTGCAGCTGCCATCTTGTCCCAGATACTCTTGGCCTTCTATACTTTCCTCCTTTCAACAATTACTTGTCCCTCTCGTGCCTGTGGTATTATATGGAACCATGTTCCTCAAAGTGAACTCTGAATCAACACCTTGCATCAGAATCACCTGGAACACTTGTTTAAAATGTAGGTTCCTTTGCCCTACTGCAGACTTTCTAAATTATAATCTGTGAAGGGGATGCATTTTAATGACTATTCCAGGTTATTCTAATTCACTTGGTTTGAGAGCTTCCGATTTAGGGATTCCTACTCTCTGTGTTCATTTACCTGGATTCTGGGGCACCTACAAACTTTGCCATCTAAATTATTGAGATTACTTCAAGAGAGAATTTCAGACTGGCAGGAAAATTACTAAAGGGGTGGGACAGGAGGAGAGGAGGATAGGATTTCTCAGCATGGTGAAAGAAGGGAATAATTTTGTTTACAAGTATCTCTGATCAAGAAGGGAAGTGGAGAGAGTCCTTACTCTTCACTAGACAATTTGATTCTGCTGAAAACGTCTCATGTGATACCAAGGAAGAGGAGTTCTGATAAATGGAATTACAGGGACATGCATTGGTTTTCAAAAAGGTCAGTGCCCACACAGACATGTGGGATGAGTTTGGCCAAGTGTGGTTTCAACTAAATGTTTCTCTGGAGGTTTACCACTTTCCATATGTCTCACTCTAGTTACTAGCAGAAGGGAATCATTTTAAATGTTGGCCTTTGTAGATTTTTTTCACAAATGGTAAGTGAAATGCTCTGAAATAAATGAGATTTGCATCTAGTCCCTAACTTAAATTCAAAGATTAAAATCAAATTGTACTTGCTTGGTTTTCTTTATGTTGGCATGTCATGCAATGCAAAGAGCCTTGGTACAAGTTGTTAATTTGTTTTGTTTTGAGTTTTTTTTCAAATATTAAGAAAGGTTTCCTTGCAATATTTGAATACTTATGGTTAATATTTTTGAGTTCCATATTACTCCTAGAATACTGTGATTCTATGATTTGTAATGATCATAACCTCTGTGAATTCACTGCATCTCCTTGGTTCCCAGTTTTCTCACTAGCACAGTATAGTGTACGATTTAGAAGAATGGACATACTGCTTAGGTTCAAAGTATTTGTATCCTACATTCTGCTCTTGAATGCAATGCATTAACTCAGGGCACAGGGAATGAGTCAGGGAACGGAAGCTCAGGAGGATATGTTTGTGGTACTAGCATCGAGTTGGTTAAATCTTTCTTTGTTGCCTGTGCAGAGATGACTTTGCTAGAGCGACAGCAAGGTATACTGGAAATAACGAACTTGGTGGGATAAAAAGAGTTAATGCAGTGATGTGCTTAGAGTGGTGCCTGGTCTACGGCGAGTGCTCAATAAGTGTTAGCTGTTACTGTTATTTTATTATCCTGCCATTTGCTGGTCTTCCAGTTTGTGCTATCTCTTTCCTGCTGAACAGATTCTGCAGTAATATAATAATTGGGTGCGTAGCATCATAATCTGTTGCCCGGGAGAAGTGAGGCTGTTGTCACAGCCTTGCCTTCGCAAATTCATTTTGTGTTCAGACTAGGAAAACAGATAGACAAATCTCTTGCGTCAACCTGGAGAGCATCACTAATTGGCAAATAGAGTCAGGACAGTTATGACAACCTTCTGAAGATAAATTGATTTGTTGTGTTTTAAATTTGATACAATCTGTGGTGGGCTTCTCTTGGGCAAAGTACTGCTTTGAAGGTGTGGAGAGGATACAGTCTGAAGTGGGGAGAGCCCTGGAAATTGTGATGAAAGCCCTTTCTAATCATGGAAAAAGGAGGAGTTGTCCCCAATGCCTTTAGTCCTGAGGAAGATGAAGATTTGCTTAGCAATTCAACCCATACATTGGATATTAACAAACATCATTCTCATGATATAAAATCTGAAATTTAGAAGGCCAGGAGAGACTGCAGGGTCACCTCCATTGCCATTTTGCTTCTGTGGAGAAGAGTGCCACTGTCATCTAAGACATATACGTGTATTTAAACTTACTGTTGAGGAGATTTCTCAAATAAAGCTTTAAAAATTATTTTACCTGTGTCAATAACAGCATTACATTGATTACTCATAGCTGCTGGCTGTAAAGTATGCAGTCATTGGAAGCCAAACTAAGTGAACTCAAACACCAGCTGTACCCTTTAGCCAAATGACCTTGGTCAAGTCATCCAAATTGCATGGGACTGTTTCTCCATCTGTATTAAGAAGATAATATCTCATAAGACTTCCACGAGGATTGGATGAAATAAATGTGTATGAAGTACCTAGGATATAGCATGCACTAAATAAACAGTATTATTATCCAAGATCAGCTTAACCCATTTCTGTGACTAAGTATTACTGAAAAGGGATCTTGTTTTCATCCAGATATTGCCATGATACTGTAAAAAATTTTTCCAAAAAATTTTTTTTCCAGTTCAATGGCCCATTGTTTGGGACTTTATTAGTTAACAAACACCTGATCACACCAAATGATCATATTGGGGTTACTATTTACCATAATAGTGGTGAGCTGATTAACCAGCTTTCTAAAAAAATATCCCAATTTGTAGCATTTGTTGATTTCCTATCAAGTAGAAATTTCTGAATATTTAACAACCACCTCTTACAAGCCTGTACCAGACAGCTTCAGTACACCATTACAAATGCCACCTCCTCGTGAAATAATTTGAGGGAGTTGCTTTTCTATTACATCTAGTTGAGAATAGCAGTTTATGGAAATGAGAGACTTGTTGAAGGAAAAAAAGTTGGAAAATGATTTTTTTTTTTTACTTTTGGGAAACAATTAGGTGACTCGGTAGGTGGGCAGGTACCCAAGATGAACTGCATATATTCCACAATGATGTCTGTACTAGATCCGTGTCTAGTGCCAGCCCACAAGTAGATGTTTCAGTTCTCTGGTCAGCTTTATGATGATAGTAATGATGTTGACAGTAGTTGTGATGGTAGTGGTGATGTGGCAATGACAATGATGATGCAGTTGATGTGATGTGTGTTTTGGTACAAAAAGCCCTGGATCGATATTCTTGGTTTTGGGTTCTGATCTCAGACCCTGCTGCTTATTAGCTGAGTGATCTTGAGCAGGTCACATATGGAAAATGAGGACAATAATATTTTCTTAAGTAGTTATGATGAGAAGACGAAGTTAGGTAATACACAGAAGTGCTTTATACACTGGACAGTGCTCTATTAATCTAACTTACTCGCATCACCATCAAAAAGCAGTTGAAAGTGCTAATTCTATATAACTTGGCACTGTTGTATAAAAGGAGAGTCGCAGACACAGCATGATTTCAGACTTGCATGTGCATCATAGAATTGATTTATGAATCCTGTACATAAATAGACTATAATAACGTTAGGGTCTTAGGAAAAGAACTTAACAGTGATCTAAATTCATTTCTCCAGAAGTCAAAGCCCAAAGTGGTAAAAAATATCTTATTCCTTTATTGACCATTCATTCTGTAATGGGAGCTCTAGTACTTATCATGGAAGATACATACATAGATAACATGGATGGTCCCTGCCTATACGGAGATTATAGTCTTATACTTGGTAACAAAGCCAGGTGAAAGACTCAGGACATAGAATCCTAGCTAATGCTCACAGTTGAGCAGAGTCATTAGTAAATTACCTTGGTTTATTTCTGGTTATATTTCTATTCCCATGAGGTCAGTAGTAAACAGAAATACATTTAGATTTCTACGAATATTGCTTTTCAAATGAGAGGATGGGGCAGGCCAACATTTTCATATACTGAAACCTCACATTCTTATAAAGTCTTAATTAAATCAGTAGTCTTAAAAATAGATGTGTAAATTACACTATTAGGTATTTACCCCAAAGATATAAATGTAGTGATCTGAAGAGGCACCTGTACCCCAATGTTTATAGCAGCAATGCCCACAATAGCCAAACTATGGAAAGAGCCTAGATGTCCACCAACAGAGGAATTGATAAAGAAAATGTGGGATATATATACAATGGAATATTACTCAGCTATCAAAAAAAGAAATCTTGTCCTTTGCAATGATGTGGATGGAACTAGAGGGCATTATGCTAAGTGAAATAAGTCAGGGAAATAAAGTTATCATATGATCTCACTTAAATGTGGAATTTAAGAAACAAAACAGAAGATCAGAGAGGAAAAGAGGAAAAAATAAAACAAGATGAAGTTAGAGAGGGAGACAAATCGTGAGACTTTTAACTCTAGGAAACAAACTGAGGGTCACTGGAGGGGAGGGGGAGGGAGGATGGGGTAACTCGGTGATGGGCATTAAGGAGGGTACTTGATATGGTAAGCACTGGGTGTTATATAAAAATGATGAATCACTGACCTCTCCCTCTGAAACTAATAATATATGTTTAATTAATTGAAATTAAATTGAAAAAATATATATAATTAAATTAACATTTGGGAGTTTTAGTTTAAAAAATGAATGAGATGTAGTTTTAAAAAATAAATAATAGATGTGAAAATAAAATCAGAAATGTTAGAGCTGATCATTGTTTTCCTTTGCTGTTCTTAAATGTACATACTCAGTAGGAATCCAATGTGTGTTTTGATTGAAGCTTGGGGAGATTAAATAGAGTTCTCGGTCTACTGGTTTCACCAATCTTATTCCATTCTCAAGACAAGCTGCTCTACATATTTGAGCTTGAGCTCCTTCATTTGAAAAACAGGAATAATGATAAAATCTTTATAATATTGCAATAGGAATTAAATGAGATGATGTATACAAAGCACTTAGGTTTCTGTCATGTAATAGGTACTAATTATTATTATTATCACTACCAAAGGGCAGACATAAAGCAACTTGCCTATAGTCACATGGTTAGAAAGTTAGTAGTAACCGTATTTAAAACCAGATAGATCCCAGAGCCAGTCAATCTCACTGGACTACAACACCCACTGAAATCATTCCAGCAGCACTGATACTTTCCCCAGGAATCATCTATACTGATTATGAGGATAGTCCTAAATCCCCAATAATTAATTCTGTTCTGGTTTAAAATCATGTTTATCTATCTGTTTTTGTTTTCCTGGCTATTCTTGGTCTTTGGCTCTTCAGCCTTATCTTATTTGAAGGGAGACAGAAATATTCTTTGTACTTTAGCCACCACTGCTTTATCTTGAGCAAACCCTGTTCCTCAATATTCCTTAGCTCCGAGGGTCACCCGGTATTTTTTTTGTCTCCTGTTTTGCCCCTCTTCTTTCTGGATTTATGAGTAGAAATGTCTACTCTCAAGGCTTTAAGAGCTAGTTTCAGGTATTTTCGTTACTTTAAGAAAAAAAATCTTCCAGAACCACCTGATATTGCAAGAACAGCAGAAGTCATTAACACTCAATTTTATTTTTTCAGGAAAAAGAATTAATGTTTTTAGCAGAATATCAAATCAGAATGATCCAGAAACATAGTTAAGTTTTATTATTGTTAGTAAGAGCAATGCAGAGGCAGTGAATCAGTTTATTACAGTACATACTATGAAATGTGACAAAGGGCTGTGTTACTGTTAGATAACCTTTGAGCTGCTTATCATGTCCAGCCAGCACGTTACTGACATTGCAGTTTGTGAAGCCCGGCAATGCCAAGACTCTGAACAACTGGATCTAAGGTCACAAAAGCACAATATGTACCTAATTTGTCACTGGCACGGCTCCATTAGATACATATCCACAGCCATTTTGCTCAGAATCTTTTTGGTTGAGAAATCCTTCTTCTAAAGAAGACAAACTTGTCCTCATCTGTTTGCATCTTTCTTTTTAGTTCTTCCCCATTCCTTTGTGATACCTAATGATTAGTTCTTCTTTATGGTTCGGAGAGGGAGGCAAGATTCCTTGCAGTGATCTGCATGTGTCCGGTTCTCTGTGATTTTTCATCTAACTTGATAAAAACACTTCCTTAACTGAGAAAACTGGCAACCATTATTTCTAAGACTACCATTGCATTGCCACCAATGCTCCATCCACTAAGATTTCTGTAATATGAATTTCATACTTATAGACACAAATTTTAGAGTAAGATTTGACTATTTAAAATCCTATTCACTCCAAACCCAATGAGGAGTGGGTTTTGGGGAAATTGCATGAATTAGACATTTTTTGATGGTAATTCATAAATATACATTTTTCCTGGGGCTTCATCCCTACTGAAACATCACTCCTCTTTTTTATAGTCCATAAACAATGGGAGGAAGATGAGTGAAATTTGGAGTTTTCCCCTTTTTTAAAAATTTCATTTATTTACTCATGAGAGACACAGAGAGAGAGGCAGAGGGAGAAGCAGGCTCCATGCAGGGAACCCGACGTGGGACTTGATCCTGGGTCTCCAGGATCACACCCTGAGTCAAAGGTAGACGCTCAACCACTGAGCCACCCAGGTGTCCCCAGAGTTTCCCCCTTTTATTAAGTCCTTTCTTTTCACTTTAGGACAAGGACTGTGTCTGTTTGAATACATAGTAGTCACTCAAAACAGTTATTCAATAAATGTTGGGTATTATGAATGGAAGTGATATGAATGATGGTTATAGAATGTCACTTGCTTTTGCCTTCTAGAGAATGTGGAAAGTAACAATACTCCTGTCTACAGTATTCTAGTCCTCTGGTAGGTGGTTTTACCTGGCTATAAGACCCTTCTCATCACATGAAATTCTGTGCTCACCCCAAGCTGCCCTAATTGCTGATGGCTGAAACTTAGAATGGCCAGTACAGTGTCTTCACCCTGAGGATTGAAAAACATAACAGCTTATCCTTTCCTAGGTCTCTAGGACTAGGACCCCCAACTTCTAATCCAGCATTAGGCTTGTAGTGATAAATTGTAACACTCAACAGTGGCTTATATGATGGCAAAATACTTTCAAATGATGACAGTGGAATCTACAGTATTGGAATGATACTTTACCTTTCTTTATGAACCTAAGCTATTTAGAATTATCCAATTACCATCAGCAAAGCCTGGCAAAATCTATATTAACTCCTAATTTCTAAGGTAGGAAAACAAATATTTTCCTCCATTCATTTGGAAAAGCAACAACATAAGGGATACAAGAAATATTATGTGTGTATATATTCTTCCTTCACTTTTCCTTTCTTCTTTCTCACTTTTTCTTTCTTTCTCTTTCTGTGGTGAATCCCGTTCAAGATCTACCTTGGGGCAACCTGGGTGGCTCAGCAGTTTAGCGCCGCCTTCAGCCCAGGGCGTGATCCTGGAGCCCCGGGATCGAGTCCCATGTCAGGCTCCCTGCATGGCGCCTGCTTCTCCCTCTGCCTGTGTCTCTGCCTCTCTCTCTCTCTCTCTCTCTCTCTCTGTCCCCCCCGTGTGCTTCTCATAAATAAATAAATAAAATCTTAAAAAAGGATCTATCTTGGACTACTGTCTGAGTAACTTTGCCTATAGCATTAGTCCATCCATCCATCCATCTGTTAATTTATCATCCAGCCAACCAGCCATTGATCTACGTTTATTGATCCATCCATCCATCCGTCTGTCTAGCCAACTATCCATGTGTCTGTTCATCCAATTCTAAGTACATCACTTGAATGCCAATAGCTGTTCTGAGTCCAGATCAGCTGTTCTATAAAATATTTTAAAATTTGCATAGGTGCATTGGCCACCCAAAAATTTTTTTTAAATTTGAAACTTGTCTTATTACTTCCTCCCCAGTGATTCAAATAAAAAAGAAACTGGTGATGAGGTGGGGTAGGAACACAGAACACAGAATTTTATAAATAAATAAATAAAATATCAGTATATCACACCTGGAGGCACTTGTCAATTTGTCTCATTGTTGGTGATGTTCACTAGATTTCTTCCTTGACAAAATACAAATATCTCTATAATCAGTACATTGCTTGTGAGGGTAGTAGACTGAGACCATGTAAATACCCTGTTCCCTGATCATCTCTTACTTAATGGTTGAGTATCCATTGATGAGCCTCATCAGAATCAATTATTATTGTAGTGGTGATTTTCTATTTCTGTTACTCTTTCTATAATAGTTGTCATTCCTTTGTAAATAAGAGCTCTTTTTTTTCTCTCCCTTCCTCCACCATATTCTTTAAAGCATTAAAATGGACTCTCATGCAGGACTAATAGGGAACTCTACCTTAGTCATCACTGGGCATCTTCACCACCTCCTCACTCACCAGAGACTTACCAAGATTCTAAGGGACTTCCATAGTGGTGGGAGTCCATCCTGGTCACTACAGCAATGCCTACCATTCCAGCAGTGTGATCCATTCAGGTCTGCTTCTTTGAAGTTTCCACAGATTACTGGGACAAAGCAATCTCTGACAAGTCTGGGAGCCCAAAATCATGCTTCCATGATGCCCCCAAATTAATCTCTTGTTATCAAGCATAATTGGCTCAGTGTCTTGGTCTTTCACAAAAGACAGGAAGACCCTTTGAATTCAAGGTTACGGTGTTCCACACTCCAAGGAAATGTTAAGGGTAAGGCTAGCAGAATCTATAAAGGGTCTGAGAATGAGAAACTCAAAGATTTATACTATCACATAGAGGTTTTTTTTTGGTGGAGGGAATGGCCCAGAATTTTAGCTGTGAGTTGTAATGTAATTAGTAAAATGCATTCTGAGTTCCAAAAACCCAACTTAAATGAAAGCAACTATTTTACAGTGAGTGGAACTAAGCAGTGATATCTGCAGTTTTTACTTTTTAAAATATTTTTAAAATATTTTATTTATTCATGGGAGACATAGAGTCAGAGACATAGGCAGAGGGAGAAGCAGTCTCCCCACAGGGAGCCCAACGTGGGACTCCATCCCAGGACCCCAGGATCATGACCCAAGCCTAAGGCAGATGCTCAACCACTGAGCCACCCAGGCATCCCAATATCTGCAGTTTTTAATGGTTACTTCTTTTCTACAAAGGAATATAAGTTTGCTTTTTGATATCTCATTTAAATTTTATTTTCACTCAACATTTGCAAACTACTTGTCAAATACTGTGAGAGGAATTTAGTACTTTTTTTAAAATTCAATTTTTGTTAAGTTGTTCTTCTAGAGCTAAATTTTTTAACTTGCTAACTTACCATACATTTCCTTCACATTCCTTCATGCAATTTGTATGTGAATGTATATGTGTATATATGTATATATACACATTCATTCATATAAATGTATATATTCACTCATATATGTATTCATATATATTTATTTTAGTATTCCAAATAAAACCCCTTGTTCTGACCAGTATGTATATATGTCATCCATGCAGACTTCTTATCTTGGTAGCAACTTTCCACCTCATTAGCTCTTTATGATCGTTGCAATTTATTTGAAAATATGTAATGTCATCAGTTACTTCATCATTTTAAGTTTCCTCTTCTTTCTCCTGCTCTCCATGTTTGTACAGAAGACCAGGCTTTCTTTTCCTAGATCCCAATCATTCTTTTTATGTGCATTTAGGAAGAGCAAAGAACCATCTGAAGCAGATGACACTGAAGATAAGTGTGAAAACACGATCACAATTGAGAATGGCATCCCCTGCGATCCTCTGGACACGAAGGGAGGGCACATTAATGACGCCTTCATGACAGAGGATGAGCGGCTCACCCCTCTCTGAAGGGCTGCTGTTTAACTTCCCCAAGAAACCCAACACTTATTTCTGTGCAACTGCTGAGCATTATAAATTATCAAGGGCAGATCATCTATTTTGTTTCACCTCTTCTTTTGTAAGAAATTTTGCATATGCATGAAGGTAAAAGGCAATCAGTTATACCCATGAAGACCATCGGAATCATAAACTGTTGACTACTCAAAATACTCTAAAATATTTCTCTGACAACACAGTGTATAAGTGTAGTCAGTCATGTGGTGTCTTTAGTTGTTGGTTTAAAAGTGCATTAGTGTTAAGCATTTCTAGAAATAGGATCAGGCTACTACATATATATATATTTTTCACACTTTGAAAACCTAAGGAGAAATATTTTTCCAGTGGAGAATACCCATAATATGGTGTAGAAGTCTTTGAAAATGGATCCACTTAGAATACTTTTTATATCATTATGTGACTGACTAAGCAAGAATGAAAAATGATTGTAAATGAGATGGATGAAAATGGGAGTGTCGATACACAAGGTGGAATTTGATCCTGTTGTCATACCAATACTTATTCTCTACCATTCTCTAATAAGGCAGCCCTATTGGTTGACTATTTCTGTAATTTGTAAAAGTACAATCTATGTGAATTTAATAAAGTGCTAATCGTCTCTTTTTAATTGTGTGTTTGAGATTTATTTTCATACTGTGGCGATCAGTAAGCCTAATTTTTATTAGTTATGTGTAATCTGTTCTACAGCCCTAGAAATGAATTATTTTTGTTGTGTGCATCCTTGCTTGAAGACATCTTATAGTTTGTAGACTTCATTTTACTTTAATAGGCCATGACTATTCTAAATTCTAATAAATTATTACACATTTATGACTAGAAAGAAAATTCACTGCTCATTCTCCTACTGTTATCATCCATAGTTGATGTTACATCAACAGTTTCTAACTCCCTTTCCTGCCCCAGTGTTGCTCCCCAGATACAGACTCCAAGATGGGTAGTTGCAGGCAGGTTTATTGGGGAGTGCTCTCAAGAGATACACCTGTTAAGAAGTGAGGAGGGCAAGTGTGGCAAATAGACTGTAAGATGTCTGCAATCTCCTGATGTTCATGCCTTCATGTAACTCCTCTCCTTGAGTGAGGGTGGGACCTGTGACTTGCTTCTGCATGGAATACAGCAAAGATGAGGAGATGTTACTCCCGCAATTAATTTATATTATGTCTGAGTCTGTCTTGCTAGCAGATTTGTTCTAGAGACTCTCCTTGCTGGCTTGATTAAGTAAGTGGCCATGTTGGGAAGGCCTACATGAGAGAAAATGTGAGTGGCCTCTAGGAATTGTTGCCAGCCTTTCAGCACTGAAGACAGCCTCTGACCAACAACTAGCCAAAAGCTGAGGTCCTCAGTCCTTCAACCACAAGGAAATGAACTCTGTCAACAACAAGAGTGAGCTCAGAAGTGGATTTTTCCCCAGTCAGACTGTCTCCAGATGAGAATACAGTCCAGTCAACATTTTGATTGCAGCCTGAGCAGAGGACCCACTTAAGATGTGCCCAGACTCCTGACCCATGGACACTGTGAGATGATAAATGTGGGTTTTTTTTCAAACCATTGAATTTGCAGTAATGTGTTATACAGCAATAGGAAAATAATAGGGTAGGATTAGGCAGAGGGAGTAGTGACCAGCAACATCATTACAACAGAGGCTTCAGACAATCCTTCAAGGACCTTAGGAGCTGAGTTTGTCCCTGATTGAGATAAGGTGGCTGGGCCTTTGTATCTCCACATTAGCCAGTCATGGCATGGGTGCTCTCTGGGAGGGGATCTGCTCTTGGGAAAGGCAGTTCCCTGTGGCTGGAGCAGTTCCCATGGAAGGAAGTCAGCTGTGAGTCTTCAAAAGCCAATGTTTCAGAAGCTGGGGATGAGTACCTGGGCCTTGAAGAGGGGGTCTGGTGGACCCCCAGAATATCCACCATACCCTCACCAGTCCATTAGCTGTAAGGTAGCTTGAGTGAATATCCTACATGTAAACTTGATCATATTGGTTCCTAACATAAATGCTTTTAAATGGCTTTTTAGTATCTTTAGGATAAAGCCAGACTCTTAAAACATAGGCCAGGACCTGCTGCAGTTTGACTTCTACCTTCCTCTTCAATCTCATCTCTCACCCTCCTCCTCTTTATGTCTCTCTAACTCTCTTTTTCATCTAATCATAACAGATCTCTCACTTCCAGGCCTTTGAACGAGCTCTTCTCTCTACATTGTTCCCTGTCTCTCAGCCACTCTTCAGCTCGTCCTTAGCCTTTCTCTCACTTAAACATCTTGCCCCTCCTGGGGGGTCTGGATCTCCCAGCCACGTGTTCCTAGACTGCCCAGATAATTATACTCCTCTCGTTGTACTATAGTTATGTTATATTTAAATGTGTTTTTATGGAGGAAGGAGACCATATAGGCAAGAGTACCCTAAGGGCCCACACAACTCCTAATTCACTGTCTCCACAAACATTCTCATAGCCTACTTCACTTTCCCTTCACCTTTAGCCAGATAGAATTAACTACTACTTTGTAATCTCACCATAGCTATGTATCTTTTTAGTGACAATCATTATAATATTTTACTTTATTTGTTTCCATACATCTGTATCTTCACACTAAATATAATATTCCTAGAGGCAGTGTTCAAATCATTTAGCATAGTACCATGTCTTCCTTTTTCCTTCCTTTCTCCTTTCCTTCTTTCTGTCCTTTATTCTATAGTGATGAGCAAAATCAAACACAATTCCCACCCTTACAGAGCTGAAAGTCTATATAATCAGAGCTCAATTAATGTGTGCTGATAAATAAGTGAGATGGTAGTTGTTACAAGTTCATAGACTTATACTTTCTGGGAGCAAAGCCTGCCCCTCTCCCCATACGTGGAGGAGTTTGAAATTATGGGTGTGAGATTTTTTATTTGGACACCATTTTGACTTGGGAACCATATGCTCTTTCATAGTAGTAAGACTTCCTCATTTTTAGGAGAGAAAGGAAATTTGCTCTCTCAGTTGACAATATATGATTTGCTAAAGAACCATTTTCTATCTTACATTTTCTTGAGTTGTATACTCCAGAATAGGGTAGATTTTCATATAGAATTGGTGAAACATTATCAGAATTCAGTGTGTAGTAGCAAGCATAATTCAAGACACGCATTCTCAAGATGGTAGAAGTTGTTCTTAGTGGGGAGAAAAAAAGTTTAGATGTGACAGTGGTTTATACTCCTCCAAAGGACAATAAAGAGATAAAAAGTATATGGTATTAACACTTTCTGGATGAGCTATTAGGAAAAGATGTCTAAAAAGTCTCAATAATGGGGAAACAACAGTTTGAGGAACACTGATCCCAGATAGGCTTCTTATTTCGGAGGCATGAGATGAACCAGTTTGATCACTAGATCATTTTCTTTACTTCTGTTTGTCCTGATGCTGAGGGGATTGATTCCACTTGCAAAGGTCTGCTCCATTAGATATCCTTATTGGGGAAGTTTTCTATGCTAACAGAAATGTGCTATAAACCTGACAGTTGATGTATCAACAGCAAAATGCAGTTTATGCCTTCTGCCTACTGCCTTTGACAAACACTCAGGGTAATTAGAGAGCAGTCAGTCATCAACCACACCTTTCGTTTTTAATTTAATGATCCTGTAATGTGTCACAAGGGAGCACATTGTGAGGTGATATGTACTGGAAATAAAATGGTGTAAAGCTAGTGGAAATACAGCTGTCAGTCCACTCTCCAAGCCTTTAACAAAATCTGTGATGAAACTGGAAAGACAGAGCATCTGAAAAAGCAAGTCACTTAAGAAAAAATTAGGTGAGATGGTGATATCTGGATTTATTTCATAGAGGAAATGTAAATGCAGGTAACTTTTGTGTGTGTGTGTGTGTTTTTTTTTTTGGTGTAGTTTCACCTTCCATGTTTTCCACAAAGACTAGCCAATACAAACATCACTACATTATTTTTTTAAAGATTTATTTATTTATTTGAGAGAGAGAGTGAGTGTGTGAGTCAGGGGAGAAGCAGAGGGAAAGGGACAAGCAGACTCCTCGCTGATCATGGAGCCCAACTCGGGGCTCAATCTCATGACCATGAGATCATGACCTGAGCTGAAACCAAGAGTTGGACACAACTGACTGAGCTACCCAGGTGCCCCCAAATATTTCTATATTAAAGAATATAGGGGTGCCTGGATGGCTCAGCCAGTTGAGTGGCCAACTCTTGGTTTTAGCTCAGGTCATGATCTTGGGGACATGGGATTGAGGCCCACCTCGGGCGTTGGGCTCTTATTAGCATTGAGTCTGCTTGGGATTTTCTCTCTCCCTCTCCCTCTGCCCCACCCTTGCTCACACTCTCTGTCTCTCTAAAGTAAATAAATCTTTTTTTTTAAAAGAATGCAATGAGTTCCCACATTTGATCCATAATCAGATTCCAGATATCCTGGATAAGGAACAAAAAATGGGAGGGAGGGATCCCTGGGTGGTTCAGCGATTTGGCGCCTGCCTTCGGCCCAGGGCATGATCCTGGGATCTCAGGATCCAGTCCCACATCGGGCTCCCTGCATGGAGCTTGCTTCTCCCTCTGCCTGTGTCTCTGCCTCTCTGTTTCTCTGTGTCTCTCATGAATAAATAAATAAAATCTTAAAAAAAAAGAATGGGAGGGAACACAGGTTAAGAACCAAAAAGATTAAAAAATATCTCAGAGTCCAAATTACCAGTCCTTATTTCAAATTCATGGGGGCTCCTTTAATGTAATATTTTATTTCCCATTTTACATCTTGTTTTCTTCATTAAAAAATAATGCATGTCTAGATAACTTGATTATATAAGCAAATGCAAGGAAGATTTCCCCTCTTTACTATCTTTTCTTTGTTCCTTCCTTTCTGCCTCAAGAACTTATTGAATGTTCACTCTATGTAAGATATCATGGTAGATTCAGGAAATGCAAACAGGAAGAATATTTTAGAAGGGACCATTGATTATTTATGACAAGATTAAGTTTTTTACTAAGAATACCATTCTATTTTAGGGAATTTGGGGTTGAATGAATGAATGAATGGCTTCTGGTTATATATTGATTTATTTTGCTCTTCATTTTGATAGCATTGTTTGAAAAAGAATTTTATATTAGTTATGGGTACAGAATAAGAACCAACTTATAAAGCACAGCATTAGCCTCTTTATTGTAGCATAGTAGGGGCACTAGCAAGGTGCAAATGGTTGGTGCCAGTGTACTGGGTAGTAGGGGAGAATTTTGCCAGTAATGAAGTGATATCTGTGTCTCTAAATGTAATTTTTCAAGAGTTACTCTTTGTTGTCACTTATATTTTTTGGAAATTAGTGATTATATGATAATAATATAGGTGTGGGGTATTGGATGAAGGGAGACATTTAATCAGACTCAGAGAGAATGATCCTAGTTTTTTTCCAAGTGTCTGATATCTTTTGACCCAATCTGAAAGTAGGTTGGTTCTCAGAACAACAGGGCTAGGTCATATATAAGACCATTGGAAAGGGTAGAACATGAGCTCCGGGGCATAGCATAGAACAAAAGTGAACACTAGCCACCATGGACAGGCAAGCTAGAAGTGCCACTGTCAAGTGCCTTGGTACAGTGAACAAGTGGTCCTTAT